AGCTGGGCGCGGGCGTGGGGCGCGGGTGGCTGGCCGGGCCCGCTGCGGGAGCAGCCGCCGTTCGCACCGCGGCGCCATGTCCGGGCAGCTGGAGCGCTGCGAGCGCGAGTGGCACGAGCTGGAGGGGGAATTTCAGGAACTGCAGGTAAGGCCGGGCAACCTGGTCCCGCAACTCTGCTACCTGCGGAGCAGCGCCTCCGCCTTCAGCCGTGCCCGGCCCGGCCCAGGAGGTGGGGCGCTCGGGGCCCGGGGTGCTCCGGGCGGGGGCCTGGGCTCTGGCGGCCGGCGTGGACCCCAGTGCCTCGCGTCTCGCGGCGCCTCGTCGCCTCCCCCCAGGGGCGCACGCTCGCAGCCCCCCACTCCTGCGCCTCTCTCGACCATCTTTGCATCGCACGTCTCCGCTGCAGAAGTTGCTCTGTGGCCTCCGAGTGTCGGTTCCGAGGCTGTCCTTGTAGGGGAAGTCTGAGGGAGGTGTAAGGAACCGGGGCTCAAAGAACACCCCGCCTCCATTGAGGGGACCCCTGACCCTGCGCCTGGGTCCGTCTCGATAGCTCACCTCGGGCCCTGTTGGCGGAGCAGTGGCTCCCGCAGCTGCAGCTTGGAGGCTGTGGTTATGAACCGCTCACCTTGAACCCTAGGCAGTGCTGAGGGGTTAGGGACCCATAGTCCCAGCCTTGGGGATCCCTGGTGTGGTGTCCACCCCTCTGAGCTAAGTGGCCTCGTGAGCGGCATCTGTCAGCCACACAGCAGAGCCGCCTCCTCCAGGGTAGACAGAAGCTGCGCCCTGCCTCACCCTCCTGGCCCTGGGCCTCCCATGGAGGGGGTAGGGCGAGGCGGGGGTGAGAGGCCGAGAGCGGCGTTCCTGATAGGAAGTTCCCAGAGACATCAGCCACTACTTTGCCAACTAGACGCAGCTCGGGAAACCCTGGGCTTGACGAAGCCCTGGGACCCGGGGAGCGTCTGCATGTCCCTGTCCACGCAGCTTGTTCCTGTCCATCTAGCTTGGCGAGTAGTTGCCTTGCCCTGCTAGTGTCCTGCACAGAGGAGAGGAGGTCACCACGGGTGTTGTGGGTCTTTCCAGATCTAAGGCTGTGTGCTGGTGGATACCTGGCAGCCTGAGACTGCTGTTTCAGGCAGGAGCAGGGGACAGGATTTTTGTCCTGTCTTTCTCACTCTGCACAGCATGTGGGGGTTGGCACCTTCTTCAGATCTAGGGCTTGGGTCCCTCCCATGTCCCAGGGGACCCCTTCACTCCACTCTCTGGAGTTGACTTGGCCACTTCTTAGCCCTTTGTCCCATTGGGCTCTGAGGTCAGGTCCCGCATGGAGTCACTGAGTGGATCTCAGGGTCAGGAGTGGGACAAGAGGTTTGTGGGGTGGTGTTTTTGTTGTAATCTCCTTCCTTGTCCAGTCCTGGACTAGGAGGAGGAGGGGGCGGTTTACTCTTGAGAGCTATGCAATTAATGCAATTAACAGCGGTTAGCTTGCAAGTCTTGGCAGGCAGAGTCACTGAGGACTCCTTTGATTTGTTATGTTCTATTCAGCATGTAGAAGACTCACGTAAAACAATAACAACAACAACAGCAAAACAGAACGGGCCAGGGAGATGGCTCAGTGGAATAAGCACTTGCCTGGCAAGCGCGAGGGCTTGCGTTCAATCTCTGGTTCCACAAAAAATAAATAAATAAAATAAAAGACTCAGGTGTGTCAGGGACAGAGGAGGTGGGAGCCCCCTGGCATGCAGCACGGGCTGGCTGGCCCCGAGCCCTGCCATCCAGCTGTCTCCCCACCTGCTCCCAGGTGTGAAATAGAGGAGGTCTGAACTGGATGTGCCTGGAGCTGTGTGTGTGCTGAGCAGGGCACACACTGTGAATGGTGGCAGACTCCAGTAGGAAACACTTGGTGGGTGACATGAAAGACATGGGCTGTGGGGAGGAGTGGAGAGGCTGCCCCTTAGGAGGTTAACAGTGGAAAAGACCCTGTTGTTTGGTTTAGTTTTGGAGACAGGGTCTCCCTATATAGTTAAGCCTTGCACTCACTATGTAGCCCAGGCTGGTGTAGACCTCCCAGGGATCATCCGGCCTCGGCCTCCAGAGTGCTGGGACCACAGGTGTGCACCGCTGCACCCAGCGTACAGAGGACTTCTTTCTCGAACATCCTAACCTGTCTGGATTTCCCTACACCTGCCCATGTCTCTGACTCAGGTGATACCTGTGTCTCTGTTTAACCTCTCCTTCCTCTTCTGCCCTTTCTGCAATTCATGAAGGAAGGAGGAAGTTGAATTTTCAGACCCTGGAGGGCCTGAGAGGTGCCAGGAATCTCCCTTGCCTACAGAAAACCCCAGTGACAGCCTCAGACTGTTCAGAGGGAAGAATTGGTTTTCTCTGGATTGTGATTTGTGTCTGTCAGGACCTTGCTGGCCTCTGGGGACAGCTGAGCCTTGTCACCATGAGGACTTGGTTTTCAGTGATGGGGATTTTTGCCAAGTTGAGCATCATTCTGCAGCCTGCATGTGCCTGGCCCCCTAGCCCCCTGGCCCGTGATGTGACCCTTAAAGGTCACTATGTTACATTGGCAGGTGACTTGATGAACAGTTCTTGCCTTGCGTCACTGGAAACCTGACCCTGTCCTTCCCAGCCCAGGACAGAAGTGGCCCAAGCTACTGTCCCTGGAGCCTGGCCTGGGGCCTTGTGAAGGTTTTGATTTTACTGAAATGGACATCCCTCTGGCTGCTGTGTACTTCCATCCGTGGCATGGCAAAAAAACAAACAAACAAACAAAAAAAAACACTAAACCAAACAACATGCTAGCAAGGTGCCTCTTCAGCAGGAAGTGCATATTCTCCCATTATCCCATTTCATAGGGGTTAGTAGGTTACCAAAGGTCATGTGGTTCCTTTGTGCTGAAGCCAGGGTTTGAACTCAGGCTGCTAAACCTCAGAGTCTGAAGCCCTGCTTCCTAGGGACTTCTTTATTTCTCTTCCATTTTTCTTTTCTCTTTGAGACAGGGTCTTGCTATGTCATTATGTTGGGCTTGAACTCATTTGTAACCCAGCCTGACTTCAAACTCAAGGTGATCTTCCTGCCTCAGCCTCCCGAGTGCTGGGATTACAAATGTAGCACCACACCCAGTGTGGGCTTCTTTCTTTAATTAGCAATAATCACGCCTTGGGTAAACCTCATTGGCTACGATACTGGCACTGCGCAAAGCTGGCTTCTTTCTTTAGACAGGTGGTGTGAAAAGAACCCTGGACCAGCATGCAAGATTCCTGGGTCCAGGTCCTAGCTTGGCTACTATCTGACACCCGAACTAAGGCAACGTATCTATAAGCTTCTTCAGTTTCCTGACAATACATTCTGCCTGCCTCAGCCTCCCAGAGTGCTGGGATTAAAGACACAGGCCACTGTGCCCAGCTTCAGTTTATTTGTAAAACAAAGGACAGAGGCTGCCAATGTTGATAATAGTGGCAAAGCGAGCGATCCATGGCTGGCCTCATGGCAGCTAAACAACCCTGCGTCTTACAGATGGGAGATGGAAGCTGAGGGGCTAAGCAGGGTGGAAATTATGGAGCCAGAATTACTAGGAGGGCTGAGGAGATGGCTCAGTAGAGTAAGTACCTGCCTCGTAAGTGTAGGGTCCTGAGTTCAATTCCTGGTACTGAAAAAAAAATTATTAGGAGGGGTAGGATTTTGTTTTGTTTTGTTTTTGTCTTTTGAGACAGGGTCTCACTATGTAGCTCAGCCTGGCCTTGGAGTCACTATGTAGGCTAGGCTGGCCTCAAACTCCCAGCAGTCATCCAGCCTCTGTCTCCAGAAAGCTGAGATTGGGCTGGTGAGATGGCTCAGTAGTCTAAAGCACCTACTTAGAACAAGCTAAGCCAAGCAAAGCACAGGGACCACGGTTCAATCCCCCAGCACCACATGCCAGCCCGCCCCGCCCCCTGGTGGGCTGAGCTGCCCCCCCCCACACACACAAATAAAGAAAAGAAAAGAAAAGAAAAGAAAAGAGAAGAAGGGGCTGGTGAGATGGCTCAGTGGTCTAAAGCACCTACTTAGAACAAGCTAAGCCAAGCAAAGCACAGGGACCACGGTTCAATCCCCCAGCACCACATGCCAGCCCGCCCGCCCCCTGGTGGGCTGAACTGGCCACACACAAAATAAATAAATAAATAAATAAATATTAAAAAAAAAAAAAGAAAAGAAATCTGAGATTGCAGTTGTGTGCCACTACACCCAGATTTTAAAATTTCTATTTATTTATTTTTTGTCTTTTTGGGAAAAGATCTCACTATGCAGTGTAGGCTGGCCTTGAACTCACTTTGTAGCCTGCCTCAGTCTCTGGGAGTGCTGGAATTACAGGTGTTCTCCACCACAGGCAACTTTCTTTCTTTCCTTTTTTTTTTTTTTTTTTTTTTAGAAGGAAAGGTTTATTTATTTAGCGGAACTGGGGATTGAACTCAGGCCCATGTGCTTGCGAGACAAGCGCTTATTCTAGAGAGTTATCTCCCTGGCCCCTGGAAAGGTTTATTTAGCTCATATATAGTTTATGGAAGTTTCAGTCCATAATCAGTTGGCTCCAAGGCAGGGTGGCATGGCAAAAAGGTGACAATTCATGGCAGCAAAAAACAAACAAACAAACAAACAAACAGCAAAAGGGGCCGGGGAGATGGCTTAGTAGAGTAAGTGCTTCCCTGGCAAGCTCAAAGGCCTGAGCTCAAGGGCCTGAGATCAATCCCCGATTCGGCCAAAAAAAAAAAAAAAAAAAAAAAGCAAGAACAAAAGGGGAGGAACAGCTATGCTGAGGCAGAATTTGAACCCAGGCCTCCTGTCTCACTCAAATGCTTTTTGTTTTCTTAGTACAATGGGTTCCAAAATGCTCTTGAGATGCTTAGCTTTAGAAAAAAAAAACAAACACACATTGAACTTGCTGGATTTCTTCCTATTTGAATAGAATTTTTTTTTTTTTTTTTTGCGGAACCGGGGATTGAACTCAGGCCTTTGTGCTTGCTAGGGAAGTACTTATTCCACTGAGCCATCTCCCTGGCCCCGTATAGGACTTTGACCCAGTGCGTTGGTCAGTACTCTTAGTTGCAAGTGACAGCAACCCAGTTCTTTTTCTTTCTTCTTCTTCTTTTTTTTTTTTTTTT